GAAAGCGAAAATGTCTGGGCCGCCAGGGGCTTGTCGCCAATTTTGGATCGGGATGCGAAGTAGTGCGTTCCTGCGTCATCATCCGTGTCTGCCTGAAGCGAGTTGGCCCCGCTCTATTCCGATCGGCATGCACGCGGACGCTGGGGCGTTCTCGGCACAAGACTCTTTGTACACGATAAGTTGGAACTCGTTATTAGGTGATGGCCCGACAGTGCGCAAACGCTTTGTGTTCACAGTATTGAGAAAGAATGATATGGTTGCAGATTCCTTGGATTGTGCACTCAAAATACTTGCATGGTCAATGAATGCGCTATCAACTGGCAAACATCCTACCCACGACCCTTGGGGTCGAGCAGTACTTCAGTCTGGAGGCCAGTTAGCAGGAGAGTGGCGAGCTTTGTTGTGCCAGTGCCGGGGCGATTGGGCGTTCTTCAAAGAGTGTTTCTATTTCCCTCAATGGAACGCTGCCGAAAGAATGTGTTTCGTGTGCCGTGCATCATCGACTATCAGGCATCTGTCTTGGACAAATTGTAATGCTGATGCCCCTTGGCGCAATACAATTTGGACCCATGAGGGTTACGTGCAATTTTTGGGAGAGTCTGGTCTTGCAGTTCCTGTCCTGCTCAGCCAAGCGATTGGCATGAGACTGGAGTGCATAATGATCGACGTTCTGCACACGGTCGATCTGGGCGTTGCCGCTCACATCATCGGCAACACCCTCTTCGTATTCTGCGTGCTGCGCGGTTGCTTCGGCGGCACCACCTACGCAGACCGTGTGTCACGATTAGCAGACGACCTCGCCAGATGGTACAAGGACACAAAATGCTCAGGTCGCCTACGAGGCCGTCTAAAGCTTGAATATATTCGCAAACAAGGGTCGTGGCCAAAACTCCGAGGAAAAGCCGCTGCGATTCGACACATGGCTGGATATGCTTTGAAAGTTGTCCGTGCGTTTGGTACTGGAACTGTGCATGACAATAGGGTGCGTGCAATATGTGAACTGCTGTGCCGCTTCTATGAGATATTGTCACAAGAGTCCCAATTTTGTTCAGAGGATGCGACGACAGAGCTGCCAAGGTTGGGGCAGAAACTTGCAGAGTTGTACGCACAGTTATCGGTCGATGCCTTTCATCGTGGCGAACGGTTGTGGAACATGTCGCCAAAGCTTCACCTGTGGGAACACCTATGCGAAATACAATGTGTCCTATCGGGCAACGCGCGGTACTGGTGGTGCTACGCCGACGAGGACCTCGTCGGCCATATGGTGGACATCGCAGAGGGGTGCCATCCAGCCACAATGGCGTACTCCGTCCTGTTCAAATGGCTTCACTGCTATTTCGAGGATGACTGATGAAAACACATCGTCATAATCACCACCATCATCATCGTCATCATCATCATCATCATTATTAGTATTATTGTCATCATGCTCAACAGCATTATTATCATCATCGTGAACATCATTACCAACACCGTCATCACAACACCGTCATCATGAACATCAGGACAAGGAGGACGAGGAAGAGGAGCAGGAGGAGGAGGAGGACGAGGGGGAACAGTAGGATGAGGAGGAGGCGGAGGAGGAGGACGAGGACAGAGGACAGACGACGGAGCAAAGAGGAGGACGGAGCAAGGAGAGGACGAACAACGAACGACGACAGCGGCGGCAGCGACGACGACGACGACGGCTGCGGCGGCACGCCGCCCCCCGCCCACGTCGACCTGCTCGTCACTGCGCAGGCTGCGGCCACTCCCCCGCCGCGAGGGAGGGGGAGGACGGGAAGAGAGAGGGGAAGGGGGAGGGTAGGAGGAAGGGGGGACGAGCGAGGGGGAGTAAAGGGGTAAGGGAGGCGGATGGGGCGGACGCGAAGGGAGCGGAAGGAGGAACTAGGAGGAGGAGGAGGAGGAAGAGGAGGACGAGGAAGAGGAGGAGGAGGAGAATGAGGAAGAGGGATCGGATGATGATGATGATGATGATGATGATGATGATGATGATGATGATGATGATGATGATGAAGAGGATGATGATGATGATGATGATGATGATGATGATGATGATGATGATGATGATGATGATGATGATGATGATGATGAGGAGGAGGAGGAGGAGACGAGGAAAAGGGAAACAGGGAGGAGGAGGAGGAGGAGAAGGAAGAGGAGGTAGAGGAGGAGGAGAGGGGAGGAACAGGGAAGATGTAGGAAGTAGGATGGGAAGAGGAGGAGGAGGCGGAGGAGGAGGAGGAGGAGGAGCAGGAGGAGGAGGCGGAGGAGGAGGAAGAGGAGGAGGCGGAGGAGGAGGAAGACGAGGAGGCGTAGGATGATGATGAGGAGGAGGAGGAGCAGGAGCAGGAGGACGGAGGACAGAGGACAAAGAACGGAGCAAGGAGCAGGACGGAGGACGGAGTAGTAGCAGGAGGAGGAGGAGGACGACGACGACGACGACGAGGAGGAGGCGAAGGAATAGGAGGAGGAGGCGGAGGAGGCGGAGGAAGAGGGAGAGGAAGGCGAGTGAGAACGAGAAACAAAGACGATGACGATGGGAGGGGAAAACGAGGAGGAGGAGGAGGAGGAGGAGGAGGAGGAGGAGGGGGAAGGAAAGCCCCGCTTCCTCTCTTAGCCATTTTGGCTCAACCCTCTGCTGGTAACGTGTGCTATAAACTTCACGCATGGGCTCAAACCTGCGCTCACTGATTCACGTGATATGATATTATCAAGAAGATTGGCATGATATTGCCACGAACGGCATGATAATCAACTACACCTGGTTTTTTATCAAGATGCGTGAGCCTCTGGGCACCCGGGACACCCGGGACACCCGGGGCACCCGGGACACCCGGGGCACCCGGGGCATGACACCCGGGACACCCGGGACACCCGGGACACCCGGGACACCCGGGGCACCCGGGGCTTCCGGGGCACCCGGGACACCCGGGACACCCGGGTGCCCCGGGTGCTCCGGGTGCCGGGTGTCCGGCGGGTGTGTCCCGGGTTGTCCGGTGGACCGGGTGCCCCGGGTGCCCCGGGTGTCCCAGGTGTCCCGGGTGTCCCGGGTGTCCCGGGTGAAGCCGGAGAGGAGACTCGCCTCACATATGCGGCGCCACTCTTAAGAGTCAGGTCCTTGGCAGGAGAGCGGTCACGAGGGGGCGTCGAAACTTGTGGAGAAGTGACGATTAGAGACATAACTTGTGGGAGTAGCAGCGACTTGCGCTGTGTCCGCATTGGGGGACACCCGGGGCACCCGGGGGCATGACACCCGGGACACCCGGGACACCCGGGACACCCGGGACACCCGGGGCACCCGGGGCTTCCGGGGCACCCGGGACACCCGGGACACCCGGGACACCCGGAGCACCCAGAGCACCCGGGCCACCCGGGACACCCGGGGCACCCGGGACGCCCGGGACACCCGGAGACCCCGGAGCACCCGGGGCACCCGGAGCACCCGGAGCACCCGGAGCACCTTTGAGCCAATCAGGACGTTGCGACGGAGGAGGAGGGAGGAGAGGAGGAGGAGGAGAGGAGGAGGAGGAGGAGGAGGGAGGAGGAGGAGGAGGAGGAGGAGGAGGAGGAGGGAGGAGGTGGAGGAGGAGGAGGAGGAGGAGGAGGAGGAGGAGGAGGGGAGGAGGAGGAGGAGGAGGGAGGAGGAGCAGAACAGAGGAGGAGGAGGTGGAGGAGCAGGAGGAGGAAGAGGAAGAGGAGGAGGAGGAGGAGGAGGAGGAGGAGGAGGAGGGAGGATCGAAGAGGAAGTGTTGGATGCGGATGGGGGAGGAGGAAGGGGAGGAGGAGGGGGGAGGGAGGAGGAGAAGCGAAAAATGCGGAATAGGAGGGGAGGCGTGGAGGAGAGGGGAAAAAAAATTACTAATAAAAAAAGAGAAAAAAAAAGAGCAAAAAGAGGTGGGAAATTAAAGGAAAAACTAAAAAAAATCAAGGAAGAAGATAACGGCAAAGAGGATAAAGAGCCTAAGAAATAAAGATAAAAAATAAACTTTAATAAAAATAAATAGAAAAGATCATGGCATGAAGAATGCATCTCCTGTAAGAAGAGAATCCAAAGAAAAACAAACAAGACATAAAAACGTAAAATGAAATATTATATTATCAATGTCTAACCAATTTTTTTAACCAAGATCATCAAAAGAGGAGGAGGAGCAGCAGCAGCAGCAACACGGGATAAGGAGTGCGTGTGTGTGTGTGTGTGTGTGTGTGAGGCGAGTGATGAACTCAGGCGTCAAGATGAGGAATCAACCGGGCTTCCGACCCCTCCGATCTCATCCGTGTGCTCCTTCTCCTCTTCCGTCATCATCCTTCGTCCCCCCGTCGTCCTTTGTCTTCCTGTTCCTCCTCGTCTCCCACCTCCCCCCCGCTTTCGTGCTCCTCCGACAGGTTGGCAGCAGGGCCTTAGATCGCCTCTGTTCAGAAAACTGAGCATCGGGGAGCCAATGGATTCCACAGGTGCCCGGATGTGTAAATCTACGTTCCTTGGGGGCTTGCCCTTCCACAGATGTTGTCTTCAAGTGTACAACTTGTTTTGTTTCTACAGGTGCTCCTGTGATGTGTGGAAACAGTGGGCGTCTTGCCCTTCCACGCATGTTGTCTTCAAGTGTAGAGTTTGCTTTGCTTCTACAGATCTTCTTGTGATGTGTCAAAGCAGTTGGCGTTTTTGCCCTTCCACAGATGTTGTCTTCAAGTGTAGAATTTGCGTTTTGCTTCTACATATGTTCTTTGGAAGTGTGGAAGAAACGTTTTCCGATCTGTAGAATTGGCTTGCCTCTGGAGGCTGGTGTGGCCACCGGCAGCGTGGTCGAGCAAAATCAGCAGATCCGCGGATGCGTGGAAGCACGCGGCTGGCTTCAAGGCCCTTCTAGTCTGAGGGTATGGGAACAACCTGCCATTTCCCATTCGTATGCCAGCTGTTGCGGGTCAAGCTAGGGGCGGTGGATCGTCCAGACCCTTCGGGGACGCAGGTCCGCGGCGCTCTCGATGTGCACGGGGGCCGCGGGATGTTCAAATTCGAGCTGGGCGACGAGGCCGCGGCGGCGCCGGCGGCGTCAGCGACGGGCAACGTGCGCGTCTACGAAGACGCGACGTCCCCCGCGGAGGTTCGGCGCCGCGCGGCCGAGCGACGCTGGCGCGTCCACTCGTCGAAAGCAGCGGCGGACGACCGGGCCATCAAGGTCCAGCTGGGGAACGTCGAGGATAAGCTGGAGCTGCCGGGGCAGTGGAGCCAGGTGCGCTGGGGCCACTGGCGACGACTGGAACGAAGGCGATCTATGACGTGGTAGGCGAGGACTATGACTCCCAGGAAGCGTTGGGGCGCAAAGCTTCCCAGGCGATCTTGCGCTTGGCATCGCGCGCCTCTCGCCACGAGTTCCCGTTTGGGATGGGCGTTTTAGCGCAGCTGTGTGCTTGCACCAACGGTGCGTTCGCAGCCATCTTCCCGGGGGGCCCTTGTCCCGCGGCGCTTCCGGTTCTGAGCATCAACCAGCCACAGACTCGGAAGAGTTCGGGGCACCGTGCTGGCATGGCAATTGGCCGCCAGATCGACGAGAACGTCGTTGACAAGGCTAAGCGTTTGGCGCGTGATTTGGCGGCCGAGCACTTGGACCAGCAGGGCGTTGAAGCGGCAGCCCGCGCTGTCTGGGTGGAGTCATCGATTATGACGTCATTTCACGGAGGCCGCCTTCTTCCAGCGGTGCGCAGGCGACTTGGACCGAGTGAAACCCAACGAGCTACATGACCTTTCTGGACGCGTGTATTTCCGCACGCTCGTGAACTTGGATGAGGCGTACCGGTTCCTGAAGATGGTGGGCTTGGTTCCCCAGAAATCGCCGAAAGGTGTGGGCGGGGGCTTGTGCTGGCGAGCGCGCGCGGGGTTTCTGGCGGCGGCTGTTCTGGGAGCAGTCCACCCTGCCTTGGTGGCCCGGGCGACAAGACGGCGCCTAGGGATCCCACGGCAGGGCGGCCTGCCCTGGGCAGGGCGCCGTTGGGAACTTGCGCGAAGACTGAAAGGCGCGCGCCGCCGCGCGGAAAGGCGGGGACCACCAGAACGCGGCTGCGGACGGGGCGTCCGAATAAAACAAGCTGCTGCAAACAGGCGCAGCTCAGATGACCACGAAGACCGCTGGCGCCTTTGGGCAGGGTTCCGCCCCCACCGTTTCGGTCGGCATCAGTGGAAACGGACGCCCTGCAATTGTGGTGCCGATGCTCCGGGGCTCCCTCGGCAGCGACGCCGCGGCCTGCTCGCGCCGTCTGTTGTTCTCGTCTGGTCGCCCGGTGGAACCCCATGCGGCACGCCCGCGGCGCCTTGAGGTGCCGTCAGGCTTCAAGAGGTGGAAGTGGCCGAAGCTTCTGAAGGGCGTCGTGGGGCTCCTCGGCTTGCCAGAGGCAGCGGCCGACTACGAGGAAGCGCGGCGCGAGATGCAGCCCGTCGCCGCCCGCGCGACCCAGGAGGATTCGGGCCCGGAGGAGGATGGCCCCGGCGAGTTCCTGCCCAATCGCCGCGGGTACGCGGTCACCCTCATCGACGGAACATCGACCAGGCACGGGAAGGGGAGCTCGTGAAATGTCACATCCGTCGTGGGGAGGGGGGAGGGGCCAGGGAGGTCTTAGGTTGGCAGCAGGGCCTCGGGTCGCCTCTGCGTAGAAAACTGAGCATCGGGGAGCCAATGGGCCCCGCAGATGCCCGGATGCGTAGATCTACGGTCTTCGGAGACTTGCCCTTCCACGGATGCGGTCTTGGAATGTAGAACTTGCTTTGTGTTTACAGATGTTCTTGTGATTTGTGTAGAAACGTCTGGCGTTTTGCCTTTTCTACAGTTGTTGTATTCAAGTGTAGAGTTTGCTTTGCTTCTACAGATCTTCGTGTGATGTGTCAAGGCAGTTGGCGTTTTTGCCCTTCCACAGATGTTGTCTTCAAGTGTAGAATTTGCGTTTTGCTTCTACATATGTGCTTGTGGAGTGTGGCAGGATCGTTTCCCGATCTGTAGAATTGGCTTGTGTCTGGAGGCTGGGGCGTCCACGTGTAGTGTGGTCGAGCAAAATCAGCAGATCCGCGGACGCGTGGAAGCACGCGGCTGGCTTCTGGGCCCCTTCTAGTCTGAGGGTATGGGAACAACGTAAGGGAGGTCGTTGCTGCGCTCTCTCCCGATTTCTCTGCTTGGCGGAATCCCCGGCCCCCGCCCGACAAGCTTCGGTTCCGCGTGGTCGGCGGCGAACTTGTGCCTGAAATTCGCGCCGCCAACCGGGGCGTTCCGATCGAGAACGGGCTCGACATCAAATCCATGGCAGACTGCGTGCTGAGCCATTTCCTGGAGAGCCACAAGGTCATTGACTGGACGGAAGATGCGCGCCTGGCGTTCACGGGCCTCCAGACGGTGCTGGACGCGCAGTGCGCCGCGTCCCGGGGCGCGGGCCACGAGGGCGATGCGGCTTTGTTCGGCGGAGGCCTCAGAGGCCATCGGTCAGCCTGGCGCGGGCCCCTGGGCCCGCGGGATCGTGGGCCTGGGCGATCTCCGCGGTCGGGGTGGAGTCCGACTGGTCGGCGCCCGATGCGGGCCCTTAGACGTGGGAGAGAGAGAGAGAGAGAGAGAGAGAGAGAGAGAGAGAGAGAGAGAGAGAGAGAGAGAGAGAGAGAGAGAGAGAGAGAGAGGATAAAAAGAGAGAGACGAGAGAGGACGGAGAGAGAGAGAGAGAGAGAGAGAGAGAGAGGAGAGAGAGAAAAAATAGATGAGAGAGAGAAAAGAAAGAGAGAGAGAGAGAGGAGAGAGAGAGAGAGAGAGGAGAGAGAGAGAGATGAGAGATGAGAGGAGAGGAGAGAGAGAGGAGAGACGGGAAAAGAGAGAGAGAGAGATGAGAGAGAGATGACGGAGAGAGAGAGAGAGAGAGAGAGGAGAGAGAGAGAGGGAGAGAGAGAGAGGCGGAGAGAGAGAGAGAGTGACGAGAGAGAGAGAGAGAGAGAGAGAGAGAGAGAGAGAGAGAGAGAGAGGGAGAGGGAGAGGGAGAGGGAGAGGGAGAGGGAGAGGGAGAGGGAGAGGGATGAGAGAGAGAGAGAGAGACGCAACAGTCGATGGCCCGCGGTCCCTGCGCATTCGTCGCATTCGTTTGGGGATTCATCGGATGGCCGATTCGAGGAGCAGCTCAGGATCCAGCCCGTGGCTGCTCGGCATGATGGCAGTGGCGCTGTTGCTCCTGGAGATTGCAGTGGGGGGCCTGCCGGTTCCTCATGAGGCTGCTGAGGGGGTGGCCGTGCCTCCCGTTCCAAATCCACTCGTTGAGGAGCACCACGCGGTGCGCGCGTGGGAGGTTCTGAGCGTCTTCCATCAGAACCGGAGCATCAGGACTAACGGAGTACCAGAGGCCAGGGAGGCCACGCAGGACCGGCCGGCTGCCAGAGACGCCGCCGCGCGCCGGGCAGCAGGGTCAGCGCGCATGCTGGCGGCCCGCGCCGAGTGGCCAGACGTTGACATGACCCAGGGTGGGCCCGCCGCTCCCCAGGCGCAGATCGAGGCAGCGGCCGAGGGCGGCGACATGGCAGGGATGCCGCCGGAAGCAGAGCCCATGACTGCTGGCAGCGAGGATGGCTCGGGGCCACCGCGGGAGGCAGCGCCCGCGGAGCCGGCAAGCAGCGGCGGCACACCAGCGGGCGTTTCGCAGGATTTCTTGTTGTTCGGCGATCCGGTCGCGCCGTCCATTAACGTGGGTTACGGGGAGGCCGGGATGTCCGTGCAGTCGGAAGATAACGCTGAGGTCGCGTTCAAGGACAGGGGGGTGATGAAGAAAAGGATCCTTCGAGGGGAGGCAGTCATCTACGGGGCCGACGCGTGCGATTCCATTTGCAAAAACATCCCCCAGGCAGGCGCCCGCGCGCGCGCTGTGTCCGTCAAGATTGGTCATTGGAAGGCCGTGATGACGGTCAGCATCGCCCAATCGATACCCATCCCAAGTGGCCCATCCACCAGCCCCCCCCCCGCCCACTCCCCCGAGGTGGGGATAGGCCTTGCGAGCCCCGAGGGGGGCCCCGCATATCCCCATCCAGGGGGGGAAATCGGCCAGAGGGGTCAAGGCCGAGCCAGTGGAGATAGGGGTTGGTCAGCCGATGCTGAGAAGGCAGGGCTGGGGCAGTGCCGCGTCGGGGTGTACAGCGACGGGGTGGAGTCCGAGGAGCGCCCCGGCGTCGCGCGGATATGCTTGACGCTTCCGCCGGACAACCGCGCTTGCCTTAGGAAGCTCGGTCGGCCGATCGGGTCCCGCCTGCTTCTAAATCCCATCCGACCCGCTGCGGTGCGCCAGGAATTTCCCGAGCCCAGATTTTTTGGAACGCCGGGTTGCCATGGCCCTAAGGAGAGAGCACCGCCGGGCCCCGCCCTGCCCGCAGGGACAACGCTGGCCAAAACCATAATGCGCGGTTATTATGCCCCCCCCCCCGACAGAAGGCCACGACCCCATGGAGAGGGCAGGGCGGGGCCCTCGTGGCGCGATTTATGGGCGCGCATGGCGCAGGCCTCAAGAAGGAGTACCACAATCGCCAGATGATGCTTTGCGGCGTCTCCCTCCACACGTTCGCTGAAGCCATTGCGACCGCGGCTGGGGAGAAGCGGAAACCCGATGCGGAGCCCGCAGGTAGGGCCCCCGCCGCCTCGCGGCCGCGCACTGCCAGTGACCCTGGGGGCGCCTTGGCCAGCAGCGGTGCATGCGCTGCGGCAGGGGCCGCGGCAGCTCTGGGCCCGTCTGTGCGCCGCGGCGGCGCCAACAACAACGGCGCAATGGCAGCTCCTCGACCGCGTCCGTCTGCGCGCCCTTCCCAGGCCCCTGGTGAGTGGTGATCGCGCCAGGTGCGCGGCGAGTGAGGCGGCAGCGTTGCGCGGGGCCGCGCGGGGGCGAGGCCCCATCGGCATGCGGGCGCCCACGCGCCACCAGCGGACACAGCATAAGCGCCCAATTTTGAGGAGCGGTGGTTTGTGGGGCCACCGTCGCACTGGCGTCTCCAGCTCGCGCGACTTGGCGACCGCCTGCGCCGCCCGCAGCAATCTTCCATTCGAGGGCCTCGGAAAAGCGCGGCTCTCAGGGCACGCGCGCCATCGGCGCGAATAGCGGAAGAGTGCCCCCGCCAGCCCATCCAACAACGATGCCCAGGCGAGTTGAAGTGTTGTTGTGAGAGGTTCTCGGAGGTCTCTTGGAGTCATCTTGGGGCTCTATTGGGGTCCTCTTGGGGTCTTCTTGGGGCCCTCTTGAGGCCCTCTTGGGGCTCTTTTTGGGGCCCTCTTGGGGGTCTTTTTTTTGAGGGGGGTCTGAGAGGTCTCTTGTGGGCGTCTTGGGCCCCATAGCTCAACAGAGGGGGGGGGTCTTAAATTCAGCTCCTCCCCTCGGAGGCTCAAAAAGAGCGTCCGGGGGCTCTCTTGGGCCGCTCTTGGGGCCCTCTTGGGCCTCTTTTGGGGCTCTCTTGGGCCGTCTTGGGGCTCCTCGCATCGCATGCGGGTCCCCCATCCTTTCCCACTCCTCCGCGACCACATCCTACCCGCATCTGCATTGTGCATTGGCACAACGGTGTAGGCTCAAACGGCGAGGCAGGTGCGAGCATTGCGCCGCTATCCAGTCCTGCTTGCGAGGCGCACCGAGTAGCACCCAGAACTGTGCGAATTGGCAATGGAGCTGCAAACAGGGGACACCATAGTGCACCCGAGGAGGACGCGCGGCCACTGTAGAGGACCCATGACTTCCATCTGCCACTCGGAAGCGGTAACAGCTAGTATTCTGACGGTGGGCGGGTGGGAGTTGCGACAACACGCGCCACTCAGATGCATGTGTCGCGATTGTGAGATGCATGGGAAACGAGTGTGGTACAACTACGCGTCGGACACCAAAGAGAAACACATGTGGCGCTGGGGCCCTTCTGACAAGATGGACTACTTCTTCGTGGCGAACAGCTGGGGCGTGTCCACGGCGTGGCTGCGGCAATTTACAGAGCGTTTGGCGCGACAGCGCGTGCCCTTCCAAAGTGAAGCTGTCGTCTACGAGCGCGAAGCTGCCCGTGTGGGGGATCTTGACAGAGTGCCGAACAGAGCGGACTTGAAGTCAGAGAAAGCTTGGGTCGCATGGCGTGTAGTCGTTCGTTCGAGCATGCCAGCACAGGTCCGATTTGGGCGGCCTGAATCTGGCTTTGCCCACCACAGGCCTTGGAGGATATCTGGACGTGGTACCCGGATTTCATGTGCCAGGAACGGTTGCGAGGACTTGCCGATAACGGCATTGCCCCCTCCGTGGCAGTCATCGACGGGAACGCCAAGTTGGCGCGGCGGATTTGCGGCCGGGACGTGGCTGAGCTCACGCAGTGCTCGCCGCCGGGCAAGCGCACTGCGACCCAGTGCTCCGAGAAGCCGTCGTTCGGGCGGAAATGCTGCTCAAAGCAC